CCATGCCTAACACCATCGGCTCACGTAGCCTGAGAAGTTGCTTCACCCATACAAGTTTCATTTTCTAAATATGCTTGGAAACGTTATACGTAAGGACTGTGACCGTGGAGATTACAAATGCAGATTAAGCCAGTGCTGTACAGCTATTTTTATTTTCCTCTTTCTGCCCCCATTTAAGCTCTGTAAATAACATAAGGTTCCTCCAGCCTTGACATCAGACGGGTGTCTCTCCCGTGTTGTAAGCCGTGCGTGTTTAGATGGAAGAAAACACTTCTGCACAATAGTTACGCAGAGAAAGCGAGACGACGTTCTCTCCCAATTTATTGCGTGGTGATGTATGCTTCCCATACCCTTGCAGTACCTCTCTGTACGTGCTCTACCCTGTAGTATCCCGAACGCCTGTAAGTCGGGTAGCTCTGCTTTTCCAGGTTATCCTCACTATTAGAATGCAGGGTCTGTATGTAATTATAGTTAATGCAAATCAGCCAGAGACCTTTCTTCATGCCAGGTCTTGGTTGATTGGATGTCAGTGATGTATTTGACGCTGATCATGCTAACTAGTCATCGTTCAGGTCGGTGAAGCCCTCGCAGTGAACGAGGCAGGGAGATTTCTCACTGTGAGCAGAATTTAGTGAGATAAAATTTAATTTTAGACTGTTGACAAGATTAAATTCTGTTAATATTCAATGGGTAAACCTGATGGTATTCCAGCAAATTATTTGAAGTTTTTCACGCTGGAAAAATGTAAGTGAATATTGTTGGCAAATGATTATTGATCTAGACAAGTGTGTTAAACGTTTCTTGGCAGCCCTATATTACACTTACAATTTAGTTTAGTGACAGCTTTTATAAATAACCCTAAAGCAAACTCTTGATAGAAACAGGTTATCGCTTTTTCTTCGAGACAGATTTTGATACTGTAAAATGCATGTGTTTGGAAATGGGCTCTGTATTTTGTTTTGTCAGCAGTACATGCAGCCTAGAATATCTGTTCTGCTAATTCTGCAAATTGTCTAGATTTCATTTCCTTTTAGCTTAAAGGATTAAACTGTGAAATATTGTGCGGTAGCAGACTGAGCTGGGCTAAATGCATTTAGAGTCCATTTTAGTTTGTATAGTAATACTTAATAATTAAGCGTGCAGCTCTTCAGATAATCACGGCAAAGGATTGTTTGTAAATGTTGACGTTCAACAGTAGTTCTGTCGGAACCAGCACCCTTATTAAGAGGGACCCTCTTGAAAATCCTGAAAACTTGTGACTCCAGTCAGTGCACCTTCAGTGCAGCACTTCATGCTTCAGTCCTGGTTGGCAGCCTGGCCCAAAATGATGAAAAACGAGGGCATGGGTGAAGGAAGCAGCAGATAACAAGGGGGAATGGCCTGAAGCTGCAGGAGGGGAGATGGAGATGGGATGTGAGGCAGCAATCCTTCCCTGTGAGGGTGCTGAGGCCCTGGCACAGGGTGCCCAGAGAAGCTGTGGCTGCCCCTGGCTCCCTGGCAGTGTTCAAGGCCAGGTTGGATGGGGCTTTGGGCAACCTGGGCTAGTGGAGGGTGTCCCTGCCCATGGCAGGGGGTTGGAACTGGGTGGGTGGGAGGTCCCTTCCAACCAAACCATTGCATTTTTCTGTGAGAAGGATGACAGTGAGCGGCTGGTTTGAGCTGCTGAGTGCTCGAAGTCGGGTTGTTTGTAGTTTGAAGGAAAGCTTTGGTGATGCTTACCAAAACATCTGTACCAGCTGCTACCAGCTGCATTTTTTCCATGTACGTAAAAATTTTCCGTGTTTCATACAAATGAAACATCTGTACCATCTGCTACCAGCTGCATTTTTTCCACGTACGTAAAAATTTTCCGTGTTTCATACAAATACACCGTGTTAGGAATTGATAGTAAATAAGGGTGTAAATACTAAAGAAGCTGAAACCGTAAGAGTGGTGGTAGGAGACACTGAGACGTCCAGAGATACTTTCAGTACTTGTTTAGCCCTTAGCGTTGCCATCGGCACGTTCGGCCGGGGTCACAGCATCGGGGGCTTTCTCACCAGACGGCTTTGCAGCGAGAAGAATCGGTGCTGGGCAGAGGAGGAGGAGGTTGCACCGAGCAGGAGCTGGGAGGTGATCGCACTTTGGGTGAATAAGCAGCAGCTCCGAGTTTACCAACCTGCAGATCTACCTCCGTTACTTGCGGGGCTTGCGTTCAAGGTCTGACTCATCTCTTGGGCAAATGGTTAAACCACAAACGTTACGACATTTCATGGATAAAATTGGCTGTAAAACTTAGTTTACTTGCAGCTGACTTTTAAAATTGCCTAAGTCTGTCCTTTCGTTTGCATTTCTTCCCTTCGCTCGTCGCTCTGTTAAAATGTTCTTTCCACCTATTCCTCTCTTTCCTTTTCTCACATAAGGATAATTAATACGTAAGTCTTCTGGTTTTTATTTTTCACATTCACTTTTCCTAATCATATGTCCGTTGTTTGTATTTTAGGTCATACCCTTAGATATAACACTGGAACTCCAGAAGCAGATAATGTCAGAGTTAGAAATTCTCTATAAGGTATATAAATTCTCTCCTTTTAATTATTCCTGCTTATAATCTCCTTATAGCAAATTTTAAAATAAGCTTCTCTGTTTCCTTTCTTTTTCCAGTGTGACTCGTCTTATATCATAGGATTTTATGGTGCTTTTTTTGTAGAAAACAGAATTTCGTTGTGTACAGAGTTCATGGATGGTGAGTTGTGTATCGCGTGTGCTTTTGATGGCTAAGCATGTCAGTGGGAAAATCATATAAAGATGTGCTTTTCCGGAATGGAGCAAAATGCAGTAGTATGACTTGAAAACGTAAAGTATTAATAACTTTGCAGGTAGTTTTCTTTTTAAAAAAAAAACAGGTTAGTATTGGGATTGTGTTATAGTCTCCACGGTATGCTCTATTTTCCCTGAGTGTAACTTCGCTTACTTTTATTGAAAATGTAAATAGAACAGAAATAAATGCTAGCTTAATTTGTGGTTTGATATTTGAGTCTTCCGTACAATCTGTCCTCGCTGACAAAACAGCTGTTCCTCACTTTTACTGTTTTGATAGCCAAAACAGATTTTCTTTTAAAGAAATCTATTAACCCAATGTCCTATGTGTTTTCAGTGGAAATCGTCTCTTAATTGCAAGACAAGGAATTATTTCCTAACGCAGCTGTTTAGCAGTGCAATGCTGAATTTTTTTTGGAGCGTACTCTTGCTTCTCCCAATGTGAATCTTCAGACCAATAGTATCCCCTTCCCCACAAGCTTGATGCTACCGTCGTTATGGAGATGTATTAGCACTTTGCTTTGAAATCTTGTGCTGTGTGGCATTCTTGGAGAAAAGTATACTGATGACAGCAATTTGTAATTGTTGCTGTGTATCTCTCTGAGAGGGTGTCCCGTGCACAAGAACCCCATTCGCAGCGTTCAGCTTCTAACGTGGCGTTCTTGTTACGAGCACCAGTCTATTACTCTCTCCAGGATTTTCTTACGAGCCAGCATTTTACGCCCTATCCAGGTTTTTTCACAAAGGTTCGGTTAAGCTGGATATAAAGAAGTAAGGATCTTGCAAATAATTTACTATGGAGGAAAGGCTTTCTGGCAGGAAAAATTTCCAAAGCCAAATGTGTACCATTAAGCATCGTTGAGTAGCTGCTTTCTTTCTGGTGGGACCACGGATAAAGCCCTTTGGGGTTTTACGGTGCATTTTGTTTTCTCCCTGTTAAAATGGGCTGTTATTACTGTTATTTCTCTCTCCTTACACTTCCTACCTCTGTCCCAGCGATCACTGTGCCCCGTTTCCAAATACGAGTATTCTCTCAGATTTTCCATATTCAGTGAAAAAGTATTAGGTTTATTCCGCAAGGCCCACGAGTTAAATCCTTTGCCGCTCTCGTGCTGTGTGACTGTTAGCCATTTCTCTGTTCTGTCCTTGCAGTTGCTCTCAGACTTGCAAGCCTGCGTTAAGCAGTAGTCGCATGCAATAAGGAAGCATCTGCTCGTGCCAAAACATGCATCTGCCTAGAGTGTGTATGCTCCTGCTAATTCAGAGATTTCTAAAAATGATGGACGTAAACGCTTGCAGTTCTGAATTCTTGTTTGAAAATATTTAAGCCTTCAGGGTATGCATCCCTCATGATGTTGCACAACGATGGTGTTTACTGACCATGCACAAATTACTTGGAATTATACTGGAGATGACCTCTGGTCTGCCTCATGTTGTGCACTCCTTCTGGCAGAAAGCAACAGCAATCATTTAAAGGAAGAACAAAATGCAAATAAAGAGACCTTGCCATTTTTTCCCCCCCAGACCTTTAATTCTGAGGTGTAAGGATGCAAGTAAAGATAAGACAAAATACTTTCTCATCCTATAAATGAACAGCTTTAACCTTGACAAATTTTTAGCCCTTTTAACTGTCTTAGGCCAATTTATAATATTTCCTGAGTCTATATCCTATATCACAAACCGTAGGTATTTCCTTTATGATTACCTAGATGCTGGTGGATCTGCATCTTTTGGGATACTCACGACTTAGGGGTACCCGTAGGGGAAAGGCGCACATAGAGTACCGCGTCAGTTCTTTCCTGGCACCCTCAAGCAGGAAAAAGCCAAGTAGCTCCAAGTCTGCAAATATTAAAACGCTGAGGTTGAACTGACCTGGATCACCCTCCCACCTGCCCGTTGATCTCAAAGATCGACTGAGGTGTGAAGTGAGGCTTTCAAATCCCTGCCCTGTTGTAGTCACACTAGAGATGATGTTCTTGTACATAAAGATGGTGAACTGTACTATTGCCTTTTACTTACTTGTTGCCTCCTTTCCTTGAAACTGCTCAACGCCCGCTAAATTCCCCTTAAGCTGCACTTGTTGCTGCTTGTATCAGACTGTCCCTAGAGGTCTACACATAAATTTGGGAGCTAACATTATATATTTGGATTTGGAAATGTTGTCCGCTACAGGATTTTTTCTCCGTCGAAAAATGGCAGATTTCCCTGATTGTTTGCAAAAAGATCCTTTCCTTCGTTTTTCAAACAGCGCTACCTTTCGTGACATCTGTAATAGCAAGACTTAGTTTGGCGTATGAAAATACGTCCTTTTTTTTTGTCCAAAATTTAAGAATAAGGTATGAGCATTAACGGGAACCACCTGCCTTCTGTTTGGTTTTTGTGATGAGCAGCAGGTATCTGTGATGCAGCATCCTCTTATTTCTGTTAAATAGTACTTACATTTACTGTGAAAACTGAACTTCATTATAATACACAGGCAACGTGGGCAATGGAAGTTGAAAGATTAAAATTAGTGAACGAATGGTCGTATCAATGAGCTGCAATCAGAGCAACAGTAGTGAAGACAAACACCGTCTGTATTTCTGACAGTAGAGACAATGAGGAAAATGAGGAGAAAACCCCAAAACCACCACTACAACCCCCCAATCATTAGAATAAGAATATAGCATAAATAAGAACCATTGTGTAATTCAGGCTGAAGACTGGAGTAAGGACCTTGTGACTTGTTCAGATTGTAGCATTTTGGAATGAATGGCTTTTACTTTTAAAAACTGAACCATAAGCAAAGTACAAGGTGTAGTTTTCTTAATTGCTGAGTATTGGCCTAACGCTTTTCCCAGTGGTGTCATCAGTAAAATCCATACGCTACGCTGAGAGCAGAGGTAGATCAGTGCTGAGCACTTCTGAGAACCTCGAGCCTTGAATAAGACAACATGCTCTTGCAAGCTAAGTGGAATATGCTCTGCCTGTAATCTGCTTGTCTTTTTTTTTTTTTTTCCCCCCTCCCATTCCACTGGATATGTTTAATTCTCAATTTTAAATTTACTTTACTTGCCCAAGAATTTGTATTTCACCCCAGGGACATTTTGAACTCTGGACTGGTCGTGAATCTCCTGTGTGGAAGATAAGGGAAAGGATTCTTGCCAGTCCCTTGGCGACTGGGGGGACTTTGGTTTCTCGCTTTCCCCATGAACGTATGGTGCTGGCTGGACGGGGTTATGCCAGACTGTACGTTTTCTAAGAGGAGTTTTAGTGTTAATGCTGCAAGCAAAAATAAGTAACGTGCGTGAAAAGAGACCTGAGTTACTGTTTCATGTGTTTATTCAGAGTTTGGTAGATTTTTAAGGTCAGTTATTTCTGACACAGTTATTGTTATATCATTGCTGGTGTTTTTATTAATAACCAAGGCCTAGGAAACCCTTGTGACTTCAAATCTAGGGCAGTATTTCATTTTGTATTACCTAAGCACGTTTTGTTTGTCCCTGCAGGGGGTTCTTTGGACGTTTATCGAAAAATTCCAGAACATGTACTCGGAAGAATAGCAGTAGCTGTAAGTACCTTTTTCTTTTTGCCTTTTGAGTTTTTGATTGTGCCCGTAACGCATCTCTGATCTGAGTGTGGCCGTGTCCCCTTGGGACACTGACTCCGCTCCAGGATCCATGTCCTCATTGTGTCCGTGTAAAAGTGAGGGTCCGTCCTATCTCATGCTCTTCCCGACCATCCTGTGTGCACAAGGACACCGGGGTTAAGGAAGCCTTCCTTTTGAATGACCAGCACATGACTTGCCAGAGGCTCAAGAAGTGTAAAAGGATGTGATAAATTGAATAGGATAAGGGGAAAAAAAAAAAAAAAGGAATTTGCTGGAGAACTGTGATCCCGTTTCTTTGTCTCAACCCTTGTAGGATGGAGCAGTCCTCTTAATCGCCTTTATTTAGCCTTTAAGTCCTTCTGTGCTACACGATTCCTTTAAAAAGTGAGTCAGAAGCCCTGTCCTAGCCCTTCTGGTGATCCCTCATCTGCAGCCTCTGCTGATTCTCCTGTGTAATTTCCATTCTGACTGTCCTCATTCTCTACAAAGTAACTCAATTAGATTTGCTTCCCAGGTTGAAAAACCAAGTCAGTTCCTGTTATCAAAATGCAACGGCCCGACGCGTTTTCTTTCTTCCCCTGTGGCGGATGTACTCCTTAGGGCAGATAAAGTTTTTATTTGGCACAAGCCGGACCCTCGCCCCTGTGCTGGGACCCTTCACAGTGAGCAGTCACGGCTGAAGGGCTAATAGTCATTTTAGGGGGGGATGAGCAGGGAGATGGGCTGTGATCTGGGAAGAGCTATCAGTCCCCAACGTCTACTCAGTTTGGTAGCAAGGTGTTGACAGTGGGATCCTTCGAGCACCCAGTAGCCTGTTGTTGTGTCTCAGCAGCTTTCTGTGACTTGGCGTTGCTAGAAATTCGCTAGCCGTGATTGAAAACTCAGATTACGGAACACAGGAAAAAAAAAAAAAAGGAAAAAAAAAAGGAAAAGGAAAAAGTTCCATATTTTGCCACAGCAGCACACAGGGTAGATGACCAATGTCTTAGTGGATCTCACAAGGGAGAGCGATACTACTAAACAATTGCTAAATATAAGGAACACTTTGATAACTTAAGCAGTTTAAAGCATAACAGTTATTCTATCATGTGCCATTTAATTAAGTGCTGGGTTTTCACATTCATTATACATCAAGCTGACAATTTAAATCCTTTAATCCAACACAGGCAGCTATTTAGTCTCTGTTCATTGTAATTCACAGCTCTACTTTCTCTTAATTTGTGTGGCCTGCCCAGGGTGATGAACATCCTTCTCTGATGCTGTTTCCTCTAAGTAGCTTCAAATCTGCTCATTATATAGCCTAGCAGTTTCTTATGGAATTTGAATGCTTTTCACCTTTAGTTCAGAGTAAAACCGTTTCATCTCTTCTTCCCTATGGAGCAATGAATGATAAGTTGCTCACGGTGTCCTTGTATTCCTGACGCGAAGTAGGATGCGTATAGCGTAATAATACCGGGATGGGCCTTCAAGCATTTCTTCAGATGCTTTTTTCCTTCTTCTCCTTCTCTCACTTCAGGTTGTGTACTTCATCCATCCGCACTAACTTACTTCACTTGCTTTTGTCTCTCCCCCATCCTCGCCAGCCCACCTGGCTTGGTATTCCGCGGATGTCTGCTTCCAGTTTTTCACTTATCTGTAATGGTGATGCTTCAGCCCCATCTTTTATGTCTTGATATATCTATTTTTTTGTTCACCTGCAGGGTCATCTCTTTACAAATCTGTTAGTTAGTGAGCGTGACTCCCTGACATGGACGGTGAGCCGATACTTAACTTTTTCTAGTTATTTTATTTGCTGCTTTAGCAGCCCGTACCGTGCCCGCTGCGGTGCAGGGGGTCAGGAAAGAGGTGAGCAAAGCAGCGGGTGCCTTCGGGGAAGGAACTCGCCCCTTCCTCCTGCTTCTCCGGAACAGAAGGCGTGCGCTGAGGCTGAACCGGCGCTGGCAGCACCCTCTGCTCTGGTGCTGATTTTTCACTCGATTGCCGTAGTAGACTTGTTGGAAGGAGGCTCTGAAAGCCTTTGTTTTCTCTCAAATTTCTCAGCGGCAGCAGGAACGGCTCCTTTAAGTCCTGCCAAACGGCTGCCCTGCATCTTGGTGGCTGACACTTCAGTAGAGCCCAGCAGTGCGTTCTGTGGGTTGGGGCACCTTTTTGCCAAGTATGTACCCAGACACCGTAATCCCCCCCCCGCCCCGAACAGCTTGGGAAGATTACCCGGAGCCTGGCGGATTTCTGTTCACGTGCTGAGGAGAAGGAGAATGTCAAACAAAAGCTGGAGCTTGCGTGGATGGATTCTGTAGACAAAATCTGGAGCTTCCATCATCTTTTTATTTTTTTTCCCCCCAGTCTGTGTGTTTTCTTTCTACCTGCCTTGCACCGTGTACACAGAGTCATTTGTCTTTTATTCTCCCGAGACGTGTACAATGCATTAGTCTATTGAAGCTGCTTAATAATATGTGTGACCTGCACATCCGTTGATGAGAATACCCTTTTGTTATATTTGTAGAAGTTTCTAAGTGAAACCACTTCCGGAGGAAAATGATGTGGGCACGTATAGACACTTAGCAGCATCCCAACATTCCTCTCGCTCCGACTTGATGATCTTCTTGCTTCCTTTCTTGTTACACAAATTTAATCATCATGGGAAAAGGTGAATTGGCAACCCTTATAACGGATCGTCCTACTCACAGCAGTGAGCACAAAAGGCTGAGGAGATTCCAGCTGGTCTAGAACGAGATCTGTGTCCGCTCAACACGACACGACAAAGGGAGCCCGTTGCCCCTGCACTCCGCTTGCTCAGTTAAACACGGAGTTGCGCTCAGGGTCGTTTCCTTGCACTCTTTCATCTCCACAGGCTGGGGCTGAGCTACCTGAGAGACGTCCCTTTCTTGACAACCCTGACTTTCCGTAGCCATGAGGGTAGGACTATGTCGCTACTCATTCCCTCGAAATATTGCTATAAATACTCAACAGATACCTGCAACACGCTGCTTATGGGCATGAATGATATTTGCTTTCCCGTACACTCCCCTCCCAGTCAGACTTTCTCAGGATTTGGCAGGAACCGGAGGAGAGTTTTGCCTGCTGAGACAATCAAACATTTTCTGATGATAGCGACTGCCACTGTGTTTCTTCTGATGTGAACCCTTATCTGCTGGGAATTAAACTGGATATCACAGCGTCACGTAGAATATAAGGACAAGAGGAAATCGTCTCAAGTTGCGTCAGGGGAGGTTTAGATTAGGTATTAGGAAAAATGGCTTCACCGAAGGAGTGGTCAGGCATTGGAACAGGCTGCCCAGAGAGGTGGTGGAGTCACCATCCCTGGAGGCGTTCAAAAAACATGTAGACGTGGCACTTTGGGACATGGTTGAGTAGACGTGGTGGTGTTGGGTCAACAGTTGGACTAGATGATCTTAGAGGTCCTTTTCCAACCTTAAAGATTCGCTGATTCTGTTCTATGATATGTAGTGTTTACACCATGGTGGTGTTCTCCGTCCTTGTTATCCATTTCCCGTTGAAGAAGTGATCACCAGTAATTGTGATGGACAGGAATGTATTGCCAAGTACGATACTCTTCTCTCTTGGTTATTTTTTTGAGGAGTAAAGGGTGGAGGGGAGGTTTGAGGCTGAAAGAAGGAGTGCTGAAAATAAAGCAAGGCAGTGAAAAGAAATGCTTAAAGGAGGAAAGTATTTGCCAGGGCTTGGGAAGAGAATGAAGTGGTACGAGAGAGGTAGAGTCTGCTGAGACGTGGGTCCTCAAGTCCTCTGATTGCCAAGTGCGATACTCTTCTCTCTTGGTTATTTTTTTTGAGGAGTAAAGGGTGGAGGGAAGGTTTGAGGCTGAAAGAAGGAGTGCTGAAAATAAAGCAAGGCAGTGAAAAGAAATGCTTAAAGGAGGAAAGTATTTGCCAGGGCTTGGGAAGAGAATGAAGTGGTACGAGAGAGGTAGAGTCTGCTGAGACGTGGGTCCTCAAGTCCTCTGACTTGATCATAAAATTCATCCTGGTTGCCTATAAGAGACAGCATCAACGAGAAGGGGAAATCTCTCTTCTTCCTTGTGTTCTTTATTTGTGTGAAGGGCTGGTGTGTTTTTCCAAAGGAAAAGTGTATCTTGGGAACCCCAGAGTGCTGCTGTGGTCGCTCCTGTTTTCATTCCGATGTGTACTTCTTTGGGTCTGCCGATGTAAAATCTCTTCTACCTTTGCTTGCCACTTCACACATTTATTTTCACTTCAATTTCTGAAGCAGTGACATTGTGCACTGTATTTTGAGTGCTAATGTTGATTGAAGTTCTCCCTGAAAGGATGTGCACTTGAACTGTCAAGAGAGTGAGTGATTGACAGCAGGTAGAAGTACTTTTTGTGTCAAGGCTTTGTCAAGTCATTGTTGTAAAACCTACTTTACTGAATACCAATAATTCCTGCTAGATGGTCAATCAAAAGCGACTCTCTTCCAGCACCATTTTAGAATAATATTTAATACTTAAGAGTCCTCCCCTGATAGGCAAATATAAGTGGATAACAGCGCTTTACACCGGGTTAGTCCATTTGGGGAGCTCCTGTGCGTGTATTTGCAGCCCAGGATGAAGGGAGAAACTTTTTCGTTCCTTTGTACGCTGATGCTGAGAGAATCTGAATGTGAGAATTTGTTTATTGCTGCGTCTTTTATAACTGCTTATTCAGCACGTGTTCCATAATAAAGATGTTTCAAACTCACAGCTGTTGATTTTTTTTTCCCCCCGTAGGAAGTGATTCCTTTTTTCTATAAATGCATGCGTGAAAATAAACTAAACAATTTTATAATAATTTTAAAGACTTTTAATAGTCTAAGTCTATGTTTAATAATCAAAGAAGGTTACTATTTTCAAACTCACTTTTACCATTGGAGGAAGCCTGAAATTTTGCCACCCCTTTATTTATTTTTGCATCGATACTTTTTTTTTTCCTCATGTCAAAATGCTGTGTAAGTAGAATTCCCCAGTTTTGCTTTTTGAAAGGCTAACGTGAACAAGGCCACACCGCTGGGCGTGCAGGATTTGAGTAAGGCCTTTTGTTACAGGTAATTACCATCTGAGCCAGGAGGTAGCGGGGTACGGAGTGTGAGTTTAACACCGAGGCATTCCCACCTAGAGTAATTTACCGGGGATCCGAAATCATTAGTTGCTTTACAAAAGACATTCAGATTCCACTGACGTCGTTTTTGGTTACGGAATAAATATTAAAATTCGTTTCTAATCCAATAGGAAGGCTGAAAATTATTATGCTCTCTGCTTTCAGGCTGTATAATATTTTTAGCACTCCTGTTTGATCACTGTAATAGAAGTCATTTCATTTCGGTCTGCTCGGACAATGAAAAGACTGTAATTGTTTTGTCTGAAAAACTCATACAACTTCACAAACGTTGGAAATGCTGTATTGTTCTGGAGATGCACAAAGAGAGCGTCTCAGGAAAATGAATGGAATGTCATCTCATAGATGGAAACTTTGTAAAGAAGATTTGCTCTATTAAAAAAAGCTGGCTGAGACAGCAGAGATGCTTTGGGTAAAAAGTAAGCAGAAGTAGAAATATGTTTGTTCAATCTTGTTAGTTCTCTGGGCTTGTAAAAGAAATAAATCCAGGGGAAAAAATTAGAGTGTTAAAAATGCAAGAAGTATTGGGGCTTAATTACTTTACAGAAACAAAACCTGCAGAGAGAATAACTTGCAATACCCAACTGCTCTCTTAGGGAGTTGATTGAACATCTTGTTTAATTTGGGGCTGTTAAAATCATGTTGCATATAGAAAATGAACAGAGCGGCAGTCGGATCCAGCGGTGGTCTTGCCAGATCTGGCAGAGCCGTACGTACGTATGCTGCGTAAGGAAGCGTCACGGGTTGTCGTTGGGGAATTACACCTCCATCCACGCGACAAATGTGCGTCCCGCGAATTTTCATTAAAACGCATCTCACGCATAAGGCGCGCCAATGTAGTGCTGGACTACCAGGTGTTTGAGGTTGGTTTTAACAGTTTGGCTAGCGGAAGGAGCAAATTCTGGAATAGCAGGCCAAAGTCTACCCCCAAAGTTCTTCTCTTTGAGGGTTCCCAATTGTATTTTCCGGGGCTATGGGATACAGCAGGGCTTGTGTTTGCTCCAGGATGAGTAATACGAAGAATAAGCCAATTTATACAGTTCAGGAAGAAATGTTCAGCATTTGCATTGCATAAATAAAAGCGTGGGAAGTAAAGGAGGAAGAAAGTGTAGATGCACCAAAAGGAAAGAAAGGGAATTTGAAGTGGAAGAAGCTATTAGAGACGTTGTTATTTTCTGGCCTTTAATTTCGCTGAGTTGCTTTTGTTGCAAGAAGACAAATCATTACGCAGTTTTTGTCTTTCATGGTTTTTAACACCCCAGCAAAGAGAGACGAATTAAAAATACATTGAAATGCCTACAGGGATTCAGTATAAGCCCAGCTGACTTCAGCGTACAGATCCTGGGAAGAAGTTGATTCATGTGTTTTTAAAGAACCTGTGGCCCTGTGGTCCGCAGGCCGTTTGGGAAGGGGTGCGTTGTCTGCCCCTCTCGTGGTCCTGGCTCCGTTCTTCCTTGGACCTCGGGTCTTTAACCAGCTGAGATGTGTAGTGTTTCTTACCGGGAATGTTTAATACGTGTTGTTGCTTTTTGTTTTTTAAATTCAGGTTGTGAAAGGCCTTACCTATTTATGGAGTCTAAAGATTTTACACAGAGGTGAGTAACAGATGTTTTCTGCTTTCCAATGAAATACCATATTATTTTATTTTAACAACGCTTTCTACAGAGACAGTAGACCATACTAACATCTGGTTTGATTCCAGTGGAGTAATGCAGAATGAATCTTACTCATTAGCCTTGCAGATTTTCTGATAAAATATTTTTACTGCTCTTCTCTTTTATTGCTCCCCCTCCTCCCCTACAAAGAAAAAGACTAAAGAGAGAAGTGAATTTTATAGAGATTTAGATGCTTAGGATTGCAAACAGGTGCCCAGTGGAAAAAGCAGCAAGGAAAATCAGATGTTTGACTAGTATTGAAAATAGGAGATAGATAATGAATTTTCTTATGTACTTCAGAAATCTCGCGTGACAGCCCCAAGCGTTGCTCGAGTCTCAGATCTCTAAAATTGTGGCCCACTGTCCTCTGACATGATCATGAATAATTCCAGAAACTTTAAACCTGCTTGGACATAAGCCATTTTTTGGTTTTGCTGTTTCTTCTCCTTCCTGAAGCTACTCTGTATTGTATTTTTTTTTTAACTTCTGATTTATTTCTTGCTTTTCAATGTTGGTACATTTTGTTAAAAACATATCTATCGTGGTAAGTTAATTCAGATACACTAGAACTTTCAAAAACAACGTCAGTTCTGGAAACAATGGAAAATGCTGTTTAAAGAACAAAGAAGCCCTTTCCCCTACCCCCCAAAAAAAAAAAAAGAAAAGAAACTCATTACATTTATAATGTTTCTAAAGTGTCTGAAAGTAACTGCTCTGGTTCCTAATGTTGCTAACAATACTGTTTAATTTAACCCATCTGCTCACTCAGCCCGTGTGCACAGTTGGAGCGTGCAGTAACCGACATCATTTGTGATTGAAAGAGAAGTGTAAAGTAGAGAGACACGTAGAAAATTTTAAGTTGCAAACCAAATAGGTAAGAGCCTTTTCTTCTGGGGTGCCTGGTTTTGGAGCGGCTGAGAAGTAGGTGCGAGGCTCTGGCGGGGGATGAGCAACGCCTGGGTTGGGAGCCCGGCGTCCTCGTGAGATCCGTGCAAGGAGTCGGGCACCTCCGGAGAGTCATCCGGAAATCTGTGCGCTGAGTGGGGAGAACAAGCTGATAGGAAACACTAATTACCAGTACGTAGTGAGGTCCTGCCCCTCCTTAGAGCTTAGGCTCAGACTGTCCTCAGGCTTTTGTGGAGGGTTGGTTTGCAGCGGAGGAGGAGATCGATCCTTCCTTTGTGGCGTGGCCCAACGAGCCACCGGGCAAGAGGACGTCGGCTTCAATTCCCCCTCGGTCTCGCAGCGTCTCCTTCCTGGGAGATCGCACTGACGGGAGAGCACAGGCTCTCTCCTGGGTGGGAGGAAGAGGGCTGCGGCCACAAGAGTGAGTAGGGATCAAGTAAGGACCTGGCTTTGTTACCCCTGATTAGAGGGTGAGTGAAATGCTCAAGCTGCTGGTGTATTCGACCCGCGGCTGTCGCTGGATTAAAGGAACAGAAATAACCCAGAGCCCATGCCCAGCTTGGCGCAGACACAGCTTACCAAGGAGGCTTCATTTCTGAGGATGGTGTAAACGTTTCACCTACTAGCCTGGATGTTGCCAGATGCAGAGATTTATCGGCTCCATCCCCTCGCAGCAAGAGGAGGAATAGTCTGGACGCCAGAGCTGCCGCGGCAATTGTCAGGATAAATAGAAAAGAAAAGGTAGCTGGAACATCCCTGGCTGGGTATCGCTCTGAGGAGGCTACGCAGTCTTTGCCACGCTTTTGTAACACCCAAAAAGAAAAAAGCAGATTTGAAATTTTTTTTTGTTTCTAATTTTTTTTTCATTTAAAATTCTGGCCACCTAACTGAGTGTGATTCGGAGGGAGCATTGTGGTCGGGCATAAATACTATAGCTGCAACATTTTATTCTGCTGCTGCTGTAAATTTTAGAACCTGGGTCTGATTTTTGCTTTGCCAGTAAAACCCAATCTCCCCTTCCGCACGGGTTTCATTGCCTTGATTGAAGAGCAGCTCTGAGGTTTTGATGAATTATGTATGGTCCTTGCTGTGGTCTGAAGAAAAGCACTGAAACTGATTTTTCATCACACTTCAGATTTTTCTGGCCTTGGTCTGTTGCTGGATTGACCAAGGTGAGAACAGGACTGCAAAATGCCATGGAGGGGATAACTTGCATGCCAGGGTT